TCATCCTCACCTTACAGATAGTCCATGAGATCCTTTCAACTCCAGAGTTCTATAATTATGTGATTTCAAGTTAAGTAATATGGTAGATTGTATTTTCCAAAGGTGACCACAACAATAATTTCCATCTGTTTTTTTAAATGTTTTTAGAGATTGGGTCTTGCTATGTGGCCCAGGCTGGCCCTGAACTCCTGGGCTCAAGGGATCCTCCTGCCTCAGCCTCCCAAATAGTGGAAACTGCAGATATGCACCAATGCGCCCAGCTTATATGCTCTTCTTGAAGTGTGCCTTTGACACGCCTGCCTTCGAGAGGTGGGTCTATGTCCCTTCCCCTTTAATTTGGGTGGGCTTGGCACTATGAAGAAAGTGATGTGGTGTGACTTCTGAGGCTAGGTCCGTAAAAACCAATATAGTTTATATTATTTTCTATTTCTGTGCAACAAATTACCACAAACTTAGTGGTTTAAAACAATACCCATTTATTACCTTGTGGTTCTGGAGGTCAGAATTCTGGGCACTGCATGACTGGGTTCTTTCTGCTCAGGGTCTCACAAGGCTGAAATGAAGGTGTTAGTTGGACTGAGTTCTTAGAGAGTTGGGGGGAAATCCGCTTCCGAACTCATTACGTTGTTAATGGAATTCAGTTCTTTATGGTCCTTAGACTGAGGTCCCTGTTTCCTTGCTGGCTATCAGCTACAGGCTGCCTGCATTCCTTGCCATACAGCCGCTTTCACATTCAAAGCCAGCTTTGGAGAATATCCCTCACATCAAATCCCTCTCATGCTTCAAATCTCTGAATTCCTCTTTGACTTCTAGACCCAGATTTAAATGGCTCATGTGATTTGGGCAGGCCCACTTGGGGAATCTCCTTATCTTAAGGTCAACTGATTTGACATCTCGGTTATTAGGTTGGTACAAAAGTAATTGCGGTTTCAGACCGTGAATTTTCAATCATTATAACTAGGCTCAAACACACCTTTATTAATCAAAATAGGAACCATTACAATCAACACACTTTTGCCAATGAGAAATTAGTTTGTTTATTCCTGTAGCGTAAAAATCTGTGCTTCAGGATTCGATGGACTCTTAGAAAACATTTTCTGCATCTTGCAGGTCGTGGACGTGTTTTCCTTGCAAAAAGTTGTCGAGATGCTTGTAGAAGTGGTAGTCAGTTGGCGAGAGGTCAGGTGAATATGGCGGATGAGGCAAAACTGCATAGCCCAATTGGTTCATGCGATGTGAGGTCGGGCGTTGTCATGGAGAAGAACTGGGCCCTTTCTGTTGACCAATGCCGGCTGCAGTTTTTGGTGCATCTCATTGATTTGCTGAGCATACTTCTCAGGTGGAATGCTTTTGTAGGGATTCAGAAAGCTGTAGTGGATCAGACCAGCAGCTGACCACCAAACAGTGACCATGACCTTTTTTTGGTGCAAGTTTGGCTTTGGGAAGTGCTTTGGAGCTGCTTCTTGGTCCAATCACTGAGCTGGTCATCACTGGTTGTCATATAAAATCTACTTCTCATAGGACGTCGCAATCTGATCGAGAAATGGTTCGTTGTTGTTGTGTACAAGAAGAGGACACTTCAAAACTACGATTTTTTTGATTTTCAGTCAGCTCATGAGGCACCCACTTATGGAACTTTTTCACCTTTCCAATTTGCTTCAAATGCGAATGACCGTAGAATGGTTGACGTTGAGTTCTTTGGCAACTTCTCGTGTAGCTATAAGAGAATCAGCGTCAATGATTGCTCTCAGTTGGCTGTTGTCAACTTCTGATGGCCGGCCACTGCACTCCTCATCTTCAATGCTCTCGTCTCCTTTGCAAAACTTCTTCAACCACCACTGCACTGCACGTTCGTTAGCAGTTCCTGGGCCAAATGCATTGTTGATGTTGCGAGTTGTCTCCGCTGCTTTACGACCCATTTTGAACTCCACTAAGAAAATCGCTCGAATTTGCTTTTTTTTTTTTTTTGAGACAGAGTCTCACTCTGTTGCCCTGGCTAGAGTGAGTGTCGTGGCGTTAGCCTAGCTCACAGCAACCTCAAACTCCTGGGCTGAAGCGATCCTCCTGCCTCAGCCTCCCGAGTACCTGGGACTACAGGCATGCACCACCATGCCCGGCTAATTTTTTCTATATATTTTTAGTTGTCCGATTAATTTCTTTCTATTTTTAGTAGAGATGGGATCTCGCTCTTGCTCAGGCTGGTTTCGAACTCCTGAGCTCAAACAATCCGCCCGCCTCGGCCTCCCAGAGTGCTAGGATTACAGGCGTGAGCCACCGCACCCGGCCCAAATTTGCTTTTTGTCTAACATCATTTCCATAGTCTAAAATAAATATAAACAGCAAGTATAAGTCATTAGCAAAAAAACATAAAGTGAGAAATGTGCATTAAAATGATGTATAACATTTATTTAAGAATGTATTCCAATATCAAATGGCAAATTTCAACAATGCTAAAACTGCAAATACTTTCGCACATTTTACATGTGCAAAATCCCTTTTGTCAAATAATCATGGGAGTAATATCTAATGATATTCCTAGATTCTGCCTACACTCAAGGGGAGATTATACAAGAGTGTGGGTCACTGGGTTCATCTTAGACTTCTGTCTACCACATAGCTTCTGCTCCATTCTCTCGTGAGGCTTATTCTTGGAACTCAGCCACCATGCTGTCAGGAAGCCCAAGCAGCCTGTGGAGCTGCCCACCCACAGTAGAGAGAAACTGAGCCCCCACCTCCCCTGGCCAACAGCCCCAGCTGAGCTCCCAGCCAAACAACCATCATCAACTTACCATGTGAGTGAGTGATTTTGAAGGTGGATCCCCCTGCCCCAAGGTAAACCATCCCCACTGGTGATGCACGGAGCAGATAAGCTGTCCCCATTAAGTCCTGCTCAAACTGCAAATCTGTAAAACAAAAGGTCACTGTTGTTCTAAGCCACTAAGTTTTGGGGTGATTTGTTATCCAGTAATAGGGTTTGGAAACTAAGTAACCACCTATGTAAGATGATCTACAAGTACTGAAAGCTTCTTGGGGACAAGGAGTGGTAGCTTCTATTTCTTTTAGGATGCTGGAGCATCTTGCAGTGTAGGCCTAAACTGTCATTCAATACATGCTTGCTGATTTATTAATTCTAATTTATGCTAAACTGACTTATACCAGTCATCCATATTTGGAAACCCAGAATTTTAAAAGAGTTATCTATCTAAAAATATGCTACTTTCCTTTTGAGCAATGGCTATATATATATTTCTAAACTATATTTGCAAAATATTTCAAATGTAAATAACCACAGATAATGAATATTAATTTTAAAGGTAACCTTGACTTAAGCATTATACCATATATCCATGTAAAAAAAAACACTTGTTCCCCCTTAATTGATATTTTTAAATAAAAAAAAAGAGCAGGGAAATGAAAAAAAAATTTAAGGTAGAATAGACTTGTGTGTAAATCACTAAAGTAGTAATTATATTTCAATGTGTATTTCATTCTCAACAATTACTATTTTTATTGGAAAAAGTAGAAAACACTAAAAAAATCACCAGTTTTGTTATTAAAGAATTTTTATCAATGGACCTTAAAACTATTAGGTGAAAGATTGCTGGAGAATAGAATATCTATACACTCTTCAAGTGGCTTCCCCTGGATTATTTGTTGAGTACAGAGGGGAAAAGTTACCTTTAAAATGGAGAAACCTGACCAACAACTCCCTAACCAAGTGATCAAACTTAGTATCATCAATGATGCAACAAAGTGCTATCACATGCCTCCCACTGTGATGCACTAATAACACAACATCACCTGTGTAGTTGTTTTGCCAAAAAACGTGTAACCTAAATCCAATTATGAGAAAACAGTCAGACACATCCAAATTAAGGACATTCTGAAAAATCACTGGCTTGGACTCTTAAAAAGTGTCAATGTCATGAAAGACAAATAAAAAAGCTGGGGAACATCTAGATTGAAGAAGATTAATTGAAAGAGTTAACTAAATGTGAACTTTGACTGGATCCTGGATCTCTCCCCCCAAAACAAGAAAGAGAAAAATAGCCATAAAGCTATAAAATTTGAATATATACTACATATTAGATAATAGTGCTATACTAAATTTTTTAAAATTTCAGAATATTACAGGGGTACAAACATTTTGGTTACATGAATTGCTTTGGACAGTTCGAGTCAAAGTTGTAAGTGTGTCCATCACCCAGATAGTGTGCATTGTACCTGTTAAGTGTGAATTTACCCATCCCCTCCTTCCCCCTCCATGAAGTACTACTCAGCCACAAAAAAATGGTGAACTAAATGTTAATTATCTAAGTGGCTTATCGCGTTGTAGTTAAGTATGACAATGTCCTTGTTCTTAAAAAACAGATCTTAAAATGTTCAGAGGTGAAATGTCACTGTGTGTGCAAGTAACATTCAAGGAAATTGTGTAAGGACTAAAATTCTGTACCTGGTTGAAGAATTTTGCATCAACATCTAGGTAACATTGTCTGCAGACTGAACAGAACAAGCAAAGTTGCCTTCCGCACAGCTGAGGAGAAGCAGGAAGCTAGACCTTCGCCTTCCTGGGTAGCACGTGGAGCCCTGGGCACTTTAAGGTGGTTGCAGCACCGCGGAACGAAGGGAGAGGTTATGGTTCCACTTCTGCCAGGGGAACATACACACTAACCCACGCACCCTCTACGCACTTTACGGTAGTCCATGGAAGGCGTGAATGCGCAAGGGCGAGGCCTCGCCTCACTCCTCACAGGACAAACGACAACAGCACGTGCACTCTGATGCACTTTGCGGCAGTGACGCAAAGGTGGGAACGCGAAGCCACGCCCCTCTGCCGTCACAGACACATTCACGACAGCGGCATGCGTGGTGTGACACACTTTACGGAGACACGAGGCCGCGTGCGGAAGCTGCGTCGGGGTCAGCCACAGGTCAGGGGCTCCACGCTCCAAGTTGTGGACTGGCTGTTTGTCCGTTGGGGCAGGAACAGCTCGGCGATCATGGTGGGGGTGGCAGCACTATGGCGGAAGACTAGAGATTACCTGAAGACCCCGGAGTTCCGGGAATACATAACCAGCACACACTTCTGGGGTCCTGCGGCCAACTGGGGCCTTCCTATGGCTGCCTTTAATGACATGAAGAGGCCCCCGGACATCATCAGCGGCCGCATGACAACAGCGCTCATCTTGTACTCCATGGCCTTCATGCGCTTCGCCTACCGCGTACAGCCTCGAAACTTGCTGCTGATGGCTTGCCATGCCACCAACGTGGTGGCGCAGAGCATTCAGGCAAGCCGCTACCTACGCTACCACTATGGTGGTGGCGGCGGCGGCGGCGGCGACTCCGCCACGGAAGGCCGCGACCCTGCGGAAGCCTGCAACCCTCCAGCTACCACCTGCGCGGGAGCCTGCTCCGCTGGGCAGTGCCCCAAACGAGCTTCTTAATGGCCGAGAGGGCCTGATCGAGTCTTTGCAACTTGCAGGCACTGAACTATCACTCCTGAAGAAAGCTCAACGAAGACTTTGGTTTTGACGCTGAAACAGTGCGAATCTCATTTAAACCTGCAGTTTGGTTAATAAATAGAAAGTAGTGTTGAACTAAGCTGTTGAGTGTTGCCTATTTTGTGAACTGGAAACAAAATGTTTAGAAGGTTGAGGGTAGATTGGCTGGTCTTCCTCTTCACGGGACCTGCAATTCGAGTGTTTGTTTATATGGGTGAGGAAGACTTTGCATGAAAAACACTTCAAATTATTCACAAACTTGTAGCTTGGTTTTGAAGCTCTCTTGGGAACATGTTTTTATTGTTTTGTGTGTCCAGGGTAAATAAGGGTGCTTAGTATCACACATGACTTAAAGCTTGGTACAATCACATATCTCTACACCAAAGAAGGTCGGGGGGCTATTCCTACTGAGGGAAATGTTTCGAGGTGGGTTTAAAATGAATATAGTGAAATTAAACTGGATTTAAGTACTTAAGAGAACCTAGAATCTCTTGGTGACTGAGAGCAATTAGAGAATCTGCTATGGAAACAGGATAAACAACTCCGAGGACGGTTACTGTCAACCTTGGATTCTGGGTAAACAGAAAGTAAAAACAACAAGATCATTATTCTTTCCTCCTTTCCTTATCCTTAAAAGTGGGGGAAACGACACTTTGTAAAACTGGTTAACCAATCACTCTGTGTTGAATGCTAGCTGGGGTTGGGGGGTGAGGGTCAGTGGTCAACAGCAGTAGCCACGAGTATCCCCCTAGGAATCCTGTGGGTACTACTGACTTAAACCAGGGAGCGTAAGAAGGGAGAAAGAGAAGGGTGGGGCAGTGGAGTGAGGCCATTACCTTCACAGCAGAGGCTGCCCCCTAGGATTTGACTCAATTTCCCCCTGCCCTTGCCTCTGGAGGATGCAGGATGTTCCAGAGTGGTTACTGGGACCCCAACGTTTTGTGTTTAGAAGTGCTTAAACCTGGCTTTTGATAAATATTTCAAATGCAAAGAAATTGCCAACAACTGTCTGAAAGGTTCTGAAGACATCAGCTCTTGGATAAAACAGGCACCACATTAGTACAACTCTGGAAGATTCCCCTTTATTTTCTGTGGTATCTAAGCAGAAGTCCTCTTCGTGGGCAGTCTCTGTGTTTCACATTCTGTATATGGGGGGGAACAAACCCAAACTATGGGAAAGTATAGTTTGTTAGTTAACTATTGCTGTGTAACAAATCACCCCAAAACTTAACAGCTTAAAACAATTCTCACAATTTCTGAGGGTCAGGAATCTGGGAGTGACTTAGTGGGGTGCTTCTGGTTTAGGGACTCGGCTTAGCTGGAGCTGCCGATCCACTTCCAAGCTCCTCATACAGTCGTTTGCAGGAGGCTTCGGTTCCTTGTCATCCGGGCCTCTCCATAAGGCTGCTCGTGACACAACATGGCTTCTCTCAGAGTGGTGCTCCGAGAGGCAGCCCAAGATGGAAGTCCTAGTCTTTTATAGCTTAATCCTGGAAGTGACATACCGTCACTTGTGCTGTGTTCACACGCAGACCCTGGTACACTGTGGGAGGAAATATGAGGGTGGGAATACCAGGAGGCAGGCAGGCACTTGGAGGCTGGCTACCATACGTGGTTCTGAAATAAGATTCTCATGCCTTTCTGATACTCAGTAATAAAGCATGTAAGGTCATTTGCCCACTTTTCCAAAGAGATATCACAAAATGCTCAGTTTAGGGGGCCAGGAGCAGTGGCTCATGCCTGTAATCCTAACACTCTGGAAGGCCAAGGTGAGATCACTTGAGTTCAAGAATTTGAGACCAGCCTGAGCAAGAGCGAGACCTCATCTCTACTAAAAATAGAAAAAATTACCCGGGCGTGGTGGCTACTCAGTCCTAGCTACTTGGGAGGCTGAGGCAGGAAGATCGCTTGAGCCCAGGAGTTTGAGGTTGCAGTGAGCTAGGATGATGACGCCACGGCACTCTAGGCTGGGAAACATAGTGAAACCCTGTCTCAAAAAAAAAAAAAAAAAAAACAGCCCAGAGTTCTGTGGTCATTATAATGTGCATATATCATAGAGCATGGGTTTGAAAGCAGAAGTCTCTGAATTGTCTAAAACATTAAGACCTACTATTATCTTCCAGACTATGTAATGCAGTATAAAATCAGTTCTTAAAGTTAGGAAATGAATCAAAACCTTATATCAAGATTTTTATTAAAATATTAAAGGACTTTTTTCACTTCACTATTTCATGAGTAAAAATTAATATATTTTAGTCTTGTCTTATAAAATGTATTTTGTAATTTGAGTATACTTCAATAAAAGGCCACTGTTGAAGACATTTCAGAGCAGGTAAGTTTCTAATTAATCTGGTACGGAGAAAGGAGGTAATCTCTGCTGATAATTTCCTACCACTCTACAGTTATAACTTAGAGGTCCAAATGATTAAACATCCAAGATTGCAACACCTCTACTCCAATGCAATGCTCCACTTACTACATCTAATTCGTAATATGCCCACCCAACTAAGAGATCTAACCCTTTGTTGCCTAGGATATTAGTGTTTCAAGCCATATAATTAATCTTTTAATAAAAATGAACCTTTTAAACAGGGTTGTCATTTCATAACCTCCCAAAACTCTGAAAGATAATCCTTTCTGACCTTGGCAATTTAACTTAAACACATCTTACCACTACTTTATGAAGCCAGTAACATTTTCTGAGTTGGCAGAGCTAGTTTTCCTTAAGTTTTTGTCACCAACACACTTTAGTTATTTCCCAGAATTCAGGTGTTTTATTCTGAGTTTAATATGTAACGTCTTCCTTCTCAGGTCTCTGAGCTCCCTGGTAAAGAACAGGGTAAATCCAAAAAACTGCCTCATCTTCGCAACTACAATGCTAAAACCACTTTTTCCCTCTAATTCTTTCAAAACTATGAACCACATATTGTGTCCCAGGGAGAGGCCGAGAACAAATCATGTTGCCGGATGATGACAAGGCACTCCACGATGAAACAAAGACAGCCCTGTGCAGAAAAGCAGCCATTCATTGGGCTTCTTCCTGTGACCATGACGATGCACAAGTGCCCCTGGAGGTGGAGCTACAAAATGGAGGCTACGACGTATTCCAGGAAATGTGACACAGACATCTTGCAGTTTGAAATTATATTTATGTCTCTTTATTATTTTGAAAGTAAAAATTTTAATTACAAAATTTCAAAATACATGAGTGCATGTCCGTTGTAAAAATTTCATATGGGAGTATATACAATAGAAAAGCCAAATTCCTTCTGACTATCCCCTCTAGCCCAATTCCTTTCACAAGGGTATCACAGCAAAAGAGCTTGGGAAAAGCACACAACTTCCAGACCTCTGTTATTTTAGCATATGAATACAAAGAGTATTATAGCATGCTACGCATTGTTAAACATTTTGCTTTTTTAGTATGTCTTAGAGATCACTCCGTATTACTGCACTGCAGCATTACCTTATTCTTACTTACAGTTGCATGATATTCTGTAGCATGGATGTGCTATGCTTTTTAAAACCAGTCCTCTATTGATGGCATTCTGCTCTACACATCCTTTTGTGCCCACCCCTGTGCACAGTTCTGTGAAGAGATGCTCATAGGTTGATGTCTCTGTATATGCTATTAATACACTTGCTTTAAAACCCTTTCTGGGCATGTCTTCCTTTTTCCATTTCAGTGTAATTAAACGTTGCCGGCATAAAGTTATCTGAACAATATCTTTATCAGAGCAGACAAATCCAATAAGACGACAGCTTGTATACCATCAACACCTACCCTACAAATCCTTATATATTTGTAACTACTTCAATGTCTGGCACACGGTTGACTTGATAAATGCTTGTTGGATAAATAAGGAAAAACTTAACTAGACACAGGTATAAAATAGAAATGTTCATAAACCAAAATTCCTAAAGTTATAAATTAGGTCTTAAATTGGTTAGTGAATCAAGATTCCATCTGATCCCAAGTTTTGTATCTCATATCTAGAAGCTAGGAAATATTTCATTAAGTTTCTTAGTTTGAAAGAGTTGCAAGACGAATGAAAATTCTTTACTACTGAAGTCTTCCCAAGGGACTTCATGAAATGAAGGGAGAAAGAAAATGTAAGACTAATAGTAATTGGAAAAATTAAAGCAGGAAGTTATAGGCACATTTGTATTCATCTAGGTTTTATGTAATAGAATTATATTAAATGCATTTTAATGTAAAAATATACACCAAATATACCCCTACCCTCTGATCATTCTCAATAGATTACATCCTTGGTGGGCAGCTGAATAGGAAAAAAAGCAGATCTTTACTCGGGGTTGGAATGGAACACTTCCTCCAGACAGTGGGGAACATGGCAATTCTGTCCCTGAGGGTCCAAAGGCAACGTGACCCAGTTAAGTACCACTAGCCTTGGAAGTGAGCAGATGTACGTAGGGGTAGATGAAAGTGAGGCCAACCCCATAGACCACTGTGTACAATGGGGCAGTGCTTGCAGTTTAGGAAATCAGCAAGATGAAGTCAGGAGTGGATGACTTTTGGGTAAAAGGAATAGAGGAAGTATGAATGAATTTGTTGAAAGAAGATGACGTCTTTGAATTTCCATAAGAATGTTGAAATTTTATTCTTAAATTTCATAACAAAGGACCAGGCTTAGTTAATAGTCTAACTAACATTTAGGTCTACAAACACTCCTAAGCTAACAGATGACCCTTCAGTCAAGTGAGAATATTCACTGAGCACATGAGGGCCAGGCCCTGAGATCAGCACTGGGGATATAACTGGACGAAAATAAGTAAGCTTATTTTGGGGAGCTTACTTTTCCTAAGTGTACCATAAACAAGCTGCCAGTTAAGAAGCCTTCCCCTGACATCCCTGCTTGTGATGCTGGCCTGGGCTCACCCCCTGCATTAGTCAGTCAAGTCACCACTCTGTAGCACCCCCGCTGACCAGCCAGGGGGCGCACCCCCTGCTCTACTGCCTTGGGCTACTCAAACCTGGGAGTCATTGTGCTAATTGGAAATGGCTAGAAAATGCTCTTCAGGCTACTTTTCTTCTTGCCTTCTAAAAAGGAAGGATTTCTAGCTCAACATTTATATCCCAGCCCAGCCTTGGGCATCCTCATGAGTGAGACTTACAGGCAGCAGGCAGTGGGAATAGGATTGTCTGCCAGTGGGTGTGTGTGAGCCTTTGGCACAGGCCTGGCCAAACATAGCCTTTACTATGTTAAGCAGCTATAGTTTAGGACCAGAAAAGAAACATTTTATTTATTATATTCTAACTTATTCTATTAAGTTTTTAAATTTATTTTTAAGACAGAGTCTCAGCTGGGTGAGGTGGCTTAAGCCTGTAATCCTAGCACTCTCGGAGGCCGGGGCAGGAGGATCACTTGAGCTCAGGAGTTAGAGATCAGCCTGAGTGAGACCCCATCTCTACCAAAAATAGAAAAAATTAGCTGGGCAACTAAAAATATATAGAAAAAATTAGCCAGGTGTGGTGGTACGTGCCCGTAGTCCCAGCTACTCAGGAGGCTGAGGCAGGAGGATCACTTGAGCCCAGCAGTTTGAGGTTGCTGTGAGCTAGGCTGATGCCACGGCACTCTAGCCTGGGCAACAGAGCGAGACTCTGTCTCAAAAAAAACCAAAAAACGTCTCACTCTGTTGCCCAGGCCAGAGTGCCGTGGCGTCAGCCTAGCTCACAGCAACCTCAAACTTCTGGGCTCAAGCCATCCTCCTGCCTCAGCCTCTGGAGTAGCTGGGACTACAGGTGTGTGCCACAGCACCTGCCTAATTTTTTCTATTTTTTTGGTAGAGATGGGCTCTCGCTCTTGCTGAGGCTGGTCTCCAAATCCTGACCTCAAGTGATTCTCCCACCTTGGCCTCGCAGAGTGCTAGGATTATAGGCGTAAGCCACGGTACCTGGCTGAAGCTCACCTTTTTAAATAGCAAAAGATCCCTGGATGGTAGCAAGTTTTGGCACAAGAGTATCTAATATTTTTTGATTGGTATAGATTATACAGCCCCAAGTTTATGAATAGTAAAAAAAATACTCCCAAAGAGTCAAAGGAAAGTCCAGGACAAAACAATAAAAATTCCTTTTTGTTTGGGTACAATCCTCTGGTAACTTTTTCCTTTTGCACAGAAAAGGATGTCTGAGACGGAAGCCATGCTGACTTTCACAAACATGCCTGATTTTTCTCAAAGGGCAACCTAAAAGGAAAGAGAATATTTTAATTTTCTTTATTTGAGGGGGAAAAAAAGTAAAATACTGAAGACAGTTACTTTCCTTTAACAAGTTTTCCTTATGGATACTAGCCAATTGCTATTAATGCCACAGTAAGAGCTAGCATCAATGGCATCATTTTAAGGCAGAAATGCTTTTCAATCGTGTTATAAAGTTGATTCACTTAATTCTAGACCACCAGTGACTTCAAGTGTATTTGGCTAAACAAAGTTGCAGGGGGCTGGGCGCGGTGGCTCACGCCTGTAATCCTAGCACTACGGGAGGCCGAGGCGGGTGGATTGCTCAAGGTCAGGAGTTCGAGACCAGCCTGAGCAAGAGCGAGACCCCGTCTCTACTAAAAATAGAAAGAAATTATCTGGACAACTAAAAATATATATATAGAAAAAATTAGCTGGGCATGGTGGCGCATGCCTGTAGTCCCAGCTACTCAGGAGGCTGAGGCAGAAGGATCGCTTGAGCCCAGGAGTTTGAGGTTGCTGTGAGCTAGGCTGAAGCCACGGCACTCGAGCCAGGGCAACAGAGTGACACTCTGTCTCAAAAAAAAAAACAAACAAAAACAAAGTTGCAGGGAATTGATGTTGAATTACTTCATGGATGTGAGAACCACTAATTACAAAAGAGCACAAAACTCAGTGTCCTTTCTCTGCAATAATGAGGACATGGGGAAACTTCAGATTAGACTGTTGTGTGTTCATTATGGCCTCACATAAGAGAACAGACATCAAAGCAATGGGGCTATCTGTCCTTATTTAACATTATATGTCTCACCTTAGGCCTTCCTTTCAGGTGTCTGTCTCCCAGGTTCCTTTGAATCCTGTTTTTGATGTTGCAGATGGAGGCTGTCTAGCTTCTGCATATCTTCTGTAAGACCATTTCTAAGATCCTCATTGTTTCTCAGAAATTCCGTCACCACTTCCAGCTGATTTGAGATCTGCGAGAAAACATACAACATACAGCTTAGGCATTTTTATAGCAGACTTATAATTTAAATGAAAAACTTACTAGTGCCAAGAATGGCTTCTTGTTCATATGTCCACCAAGAGACAGAATCTTGGCTGCAGGCATCTGTCCACAGACAAGTTAAAAGTTTGAAAAACAAAACAAACTCTTTTGAACAAAGCCTCTTCCACTCAAAAACAAACAAACAAACAAACCAAAAAATAAAAACAAAGAAAACCACTCCAAAAAACCAAAACAAAACCCCATAACACAATCCAGGAGAGGAGCTGCTTCTGGGACCAAACAAGGGGGTGTTTGCTTATCTCCTCAAATTTTTTTGCTTTTAAAACTTCCTGCATTTGTATGAAAGGGCTTCATTTTACACACACACACACACGCACACACGTACATGTGCATGTATAAAAATAGAATGAAGCTCTTTCATTTTGAACCCATGCATTTATTACTATTAAATATACATATACATCCACATATGTATTAATAAATTCAAAATCAACACAAGCATACAAGGTAAACAGTCCCCAGTCACCCAGCTCCTCTCCCTAGAGGTGACCATAATGAACAATTTCTCATGTTTCTTCCAGAGACATTCTATGCAGTTACATGTGAGTATGTGTATATACACGTTTCTAAAAACAAAAATAGCAGCATGCTAGGCACTGCTCTCCAACTGATCTCTTCTATATGAGATTATAAAGAGTACTCTCATCATCTTTTTTAATGGCTGAATAGTATTCCAATTATGGCTACTTCATATTTTAATATATTATTTTGATCCTTCTGCTAAGACAAATAATGCTGCAGTAACTTAATTTGGTACATGTGTTATTTTGCATAAGTGACAAGTCTGTAGGATCTGTTTTTAGAAGTGAAAAGCAGTTTCAATTGCGATTGTATTTTGTATTAAAATTTTGCCAAAACTGCCATCTATAGAGATTGCACCAATTTAAACTCCCACCAACAACATACTTTAACTTTTAAGTTAATAAAAGTACTCATGGACTAGTAGCATGGAAGTGCTTTCACTGGGCTTGTCCTAGAATACTCTCACTGGTTACTGTGCTTACTACAGTCATGAGAGTTACTCGTATTTTTGGGTGTGGTGAATGTTTTTAAATGGGTCCAAGCTAAGTCAAGATTATCTAAATCTAATGAATAAAAATGATGGAGTACCCTACTCCAGCGGGTGTACATAACTGATTCTTAGGCAGCAGGTCTAGGGTGGAACCTCAGCAAGCACACAGGTTATTGTGATGTAAGCAAATGAAATAGCCACATGCTGGATGATGGCTGCCGGGGATAGAAGGGACAGGGAAGGCTGGCTGAGACTGTGCCAGGATGAATAGGGAGCAGGGAAGGACAGGGAGGAGCTGAAGATGACTGGAGGGCTTCAGATTGGTTAGTAAGTAGACTGGCGTTGTGCCCTTCAGCTGGAGCTGTTTATTTCATGGCTGGAAACCAGCCTAGAGCTCCTGCAAGATGCCTGGGCTTTAAATAATAAATCTCGAAACCACAGAACTGTGAAATGAAGATCACACCAATGACATTACTCACAGCGTGCATTAGTAACTGTGGGCACTGCACTGTTAGCTCTTATTGGCCATGCCCAGTATCCTGGACACACCTCAGTGTCTTCCTGTGGCTCCCATCAGATGCCTGTGACTGCACTGGCCGGATCTTTGCACTGCACACTCGCCTCCAGATGGACTTTTGGCCCTCGCTGGCGTCCCCCTCCCCACTGTGTGGAGACTTTCTCACTTGATGAGTTAGGAGCTGTGATTTGTGCTGTCTCCTCCTGGCCCTCTCTGCAGACCTGGTTTGCTCTATTCCCCTTAGTTTCTTTTCCTTTGCTCAAGGATTCAGCTCTCTTTTCTATTCCAAATTGCCTTTCTCATGATCTCCAATAGGAGTGTTTCATAATTGACATTTCTTAGAACTTCAGTTTTCCCTTTTGTGAAAAGCAATAAATGCATTTGCTTAACAGGTGTTCTGGCTGGGGTGATTATTTCAGCTTGAAGGGAGGGAGGCAACGTCAAAAGAAGGCTTTTTTAAAGAATGGGGAAGGCTTTGCATGTTTATGTATTAAGAGAGAAGAGGAAGTAGAGATGGAAAAACGAAGTATTAGAAAAATTACAGAATGTAGTCATACAGACTTGGACACTGAAGCCCAGCTTTGTCACTTAACTGTGTGACTTTGGGCAAGACATTTGACCTCTCTGAGCTTACTTCTATGTATGCAAATTAAGGATGATGACACCAACACCACCTACAGTTCTTTGAGGACTAGAAATAATCCACTAAAAGCACTTAGCATTGTGCCTGGTATATTCCTTCTTTCCTTCACTCATTTAGTAAATGTTTAATTTATTGATAGTCCATTGTGTGCTTGCTGGTCTACTGTTCTAAGCAAAAGATGCTTAGCAACTTCATTCTTTTTTTTTTTTTTTGAGACAGAGTCTCACTGTGTTGCCCTGGCTAGAGTGCTGTGGCGTCATCCCAGCTCACAGCAACCTCA